ATTTAATTCAAAAGACAGATCAGTTGCTGTTTAAGATGCCATAGTGTTATAACAATTATTTAAAGAACAGTGAGTCTAAATCACATAATCAACATTGCTGGGATTCCAAGGGAATTTCTTAGCTTGGCTTTAACAGTTAATGGCTTTCTGGCAACTTTTCATTAATTATTAATGCAGGCATAATAATGCTTATTTCTTAATTAACCTTCTAAGCAATACAATTATCAAAAGAATTATTCCTGCTGAAAATTCAGTGTCATGTCACAGTCCAGATTAAAAAAATTAAACCTCAAATATGACTTTTTGCCTGTAGAAAAATGAATCCAGTATTTTTTTGACATTTTTTCCAATTATATTTTAGACAAGGAAATAATTTTACAGTTCTGCATTTCTTTAATCATGTATTTTACCTAAACCAGGATGTACTTTCACTTTTCAGTCCCAAATCCACTGAAAGTTTTTGTCTGTCCCTTTTAGGTTCGGGTGAGTTATTGCCAGTGAGGCAGAGCCACTGTCAGCAGTAGGGGCTGCATCCAAACACTGGTGCCTCTTGGAAAAGCAACATGGTAGGTTTCTTGGAGGAGTTTATGGTTCACCCTGGTGGCCAACATTTCTTCCCATCACACCGTATTCAATAAGGTGCCTCTGTGGGATTGCATAGATAAGGCTTTTCTCTCTCCACAATAATGGCAGGACTAGAGTCAAGATGATGGTGAGGTAACAACAGGTTCACACAGTCAAAGCTATGATATAGTAAAACCTATGCAGTGCTTTATGACTTTTGCTGCCCAGGTGCTTTCTGCAAGGGCTGTACAATTGGATCCTCTAGTCACTCAAGTCAGTCCCCCTGGGTAGCAGGTAGGAGCTCCTCCATTTGTTAGAAAAAGGTTTATTTAGCCATTTTCTTTGAGTACACTTAAAACATATCACAGCAGCCTATTACATGCACCTCTGCCCTCATCCATTTTTCATGAAGGGACTGTTTGTCCAAAACAGTGGCCAGTGCTGATATGTAATATTAAAGTGATTTAGAAACATGAAAGAAAACCACTTGATATTCCTCATGGTCTTCCTGCTGGAAGGTTGGTTTCATGCTTAATTTATGCCAGCACGATCCTTATTTTAGTGATGCTATCAGTGAAATCCTGCCCATAGCTATCATGCATATGAAAAAAAAATCAATACATACAGCACAAACCTTTTTGAAAGGTCACCATTTTGGGTGCAAGCTGACAGCAGCAGGGGCCAGCAGGGTCCACATTTATTTCCTTTTCCTCTAGACATGCATCTTGCTGCAGATTATGTACCTGAGTCTGTACTAGGCAACAATATAAAATCATTTAGTGCTTAGAGACACTGTCATCTTACTCACACAAGCCACCTGTGTTTTACCTTTATTACCAGCTATTTGCACTGGTGACAGCTCCTCTGTTAGGTAGCTGAGAAGCTTTTCATTCTTGTCTTTGTATTTGTTTTCAGTCTTACAAGAGAGAGAGGCATTGTTTACAAGCCCTTCATATGAACCACTGATGTACAAAAAGGCAGCATGTTCTCAACAACTGACCTTTTCTTCTGTCTTGGAATTTTCTTCTTCTTCATGGTCAAGACACAGACCAAGATAACTAAGCCTTGTAGGCCAACAAACTGTGCAATCACAATTCTCTCTGAGGAAGCTGGCTGTGGGTATCCAGGAGCTGGGGTTTACCCACTGAATTTTGAGCAAAAGGAATCCTCTTTTCTTTCTTTTGAATATTCCTTTGACTTGTGCTTTCGCAGTGCCTGTACATAAATTCAGAATGCTGTAATGGGCACTTCAAGAGTATCTGACAAGTAACCTGTGACTACCAGCCAATAGTTCCATCTCTGACACTGAGCAGAAAGGGCATCGCTGTGAACAACAAGAGTTGTTGGGACAACAAAACACACTTGGTAACATTTTCTCTGGCTGCTCGAGTAAGTTGTGCTGGTTTCTGCATTCTACAGGTAGTGATTATCTAGATTGGAAACTGCAGGTACAGTTTGAATGTTTTGTTTTACAATAATACACTGATGTTGCTTTTAAAGCAATCACACACATTTGAGAACAAAACCTGTACAGAACCAGATGAGAAACTTTTGACTACTCAGAGCTGTTGTTTCATGCTCTCTGCAGCCACACACGCTATAACATCGCACCATTTTTACACTGGCTTCTTTTCTTGAAGATCAGATTTGCCTTTTAAGTGTTTAATTAATTAAAATCTGAAAATCTGAGTTGGGGCCTCCAGACAGAAGCTCTTAGCTGTAAGCAGCTGAAAGTTGAACTCGTCAGACTTCTGGCACTTCAGAAATTATTTAAAGTGGTTGGGCTCTAACAAGTTATCTGTGCAAAGCAGAAAGGAAATTCAGTAAGAAAAGGCAGACTGATTTTGAGCAATAAAATAGTTTAAGCACTTTCTAATCACTAGCCTAAGGAAGGTAAGACTCTATAAAAGAAAAATCTTTGGAAATAAGTCTAAATATGCAACAGAATGTCTAAAATTTTTAGTTTCAGAAGTATTTGCATGACACAAAAAGGATAACATTTGGTTGTACTTAACAACAGACCTTGGTATTGCATGATGATAGAGCTACTAGAAAATCAGGAGAATAAACACATGGTCACAATAAGACCTCTGTATGGTCTGCTAAAGTCTTTCTCCATAAGTTATGGCCTAGCTAAAGAGGAAAAGAAATGAAAAAGAAATCATGAACATAATGAGCGTTTTTACCAAGGATGCAAAATGTTCAATGATGCTTCTGATTTCCAAACGTCTCAGGTAGGAACATTCTGCTCCAGCAGAATATACAGGTAAAATCAAGCCAACACACACTGGCATTGTCCATCTCAGCAAACCAGACAGTACATGTCCTTGGAGGTGCCCAAATTAGCCTCACAGTGTTCATTTTTGGTTACACTGAAACATTCCTCTCGTTCCAGGTAAGCCTGTTCAAGCTGTTCAAGCTCAATTTCTTGAACTTTCGCTTATCTGATATTCAGAGTGTTACTGCTGTTTGTCTTGCTGGAATCCCGTTTATAGGACTGTACACTACAGAGAGATTAGGAGCTAAAAACAGCAGGCTAAATTGAGTATTAATAAATGCAAATAAATGCTCACTGGGGAAAAGCCAATTCTCCTAAATATACACACACTGATGGAAATTAAATTATTCAGTAACCTTCAGAATAGCTCTTAATGTTAGTGGACAGTTCTATGGAATGGCAGCTCAGCATTCAGTGGTACTTTAAAAAATAAATTAGAAATTAGTGGGAAAGAATAATGACAAAAATCAAAGCATAATTATGACAACATGTACATTTTTGGTATGTCTGCATTTTGAACACTGGTTGCAGCAGAACTAGAAAATACAGGGAATAGCAATAACAATGAGCACAGATGTGAAATGGCTTTTGTACAATATGATATTAAGCTATGGCTTTTCCTTTGGGAAAACAGCAGTGCTTGGAAAACACACTACAGGTCTGTAAATTCTTGAATGGCACAGGGAAGACAAATAGGAAACAGTTGCTCATCTCTTCTCACAATTTAACAAGCAGAGGGCATCACCAGAAGTTACTGGGCAGCTGGTTTAGAAAATCACAAAATGTATTGATTTTTCTACATATTAAGTTGTGGAATCCATTCAGCATTGTAAATACTTTGAGTTTAGATGGGAAACAAAGAAAGCACAGGGAAAGCCATTAAAGGCTATTAAGTTCATTGACAGAAGCTCTGATGTTAAAAAAAAAAATCATCAGGAAGGATACGATGGGAAAAGAGCACAGTCCAGGCATGTTGTTCCTCCCTGGCTCCTGCAAGCATCCACTGCCAGCACAGCAGGAGAAGACACTGTGTGGCACAGCCCTTCAGCACTGCCCTGCCTTTCTCTTACCACAGACTCCACTGTGAGCTGTCCACCCTGGGAGAGGTGCATACTTCCTGCAGTATTCCAGGAGCATCTTAACTGTCATTTTATAGATTAAAAAAGGGCTGAGCTTTCATTACTACTTCATGGGGACAGCATGAGAGAATTGCTGAAAAGGTCGTACTGCTATTCCAGGTTTCACTTGCAATCTAAATTTTTTTTAAATGAAAGCCACAAAATACTTTCCAGCTTGGACAGGTCCACAACCACCCAAGAGCAGCAGCCGTGTGCTCTGGAATTAACCCTGCCGCCATGAGGTGACTGACAAGAGCAAGCTCACAAAATGCCACCACAAAAGGCGCAGGTGATGGCTGAGACACTGCTGTTCTGCCACACCAGAGTCCTGATTTGGCTGTTTCTTATTCTGGCACCTCGTTCTTTTCACATTCAGCCTTTGGCCAAAGGGAGAAAAACTGCAGAAACTACAAGCTCAGATTGGAAGACCTTTTGGGTTGAATGACTGGAAGACTTCAATGCATATTGCATGAGTGAGTCAGCTAATAATTTCAATGCAAAACTCTTCTATTTTCTTAACCCTTTCTCTTCCACATTGACTATCTGAAGAGGGAAGAAGTTAAGGATTACAGGAGAGTCAGCCATGGGAGTAAAAGATTTCATCCTGCAAATTCCAAATGGAAGCTCCTGTGCTGGTAGGATCAGTGCTGTGACTAATGTCATCACTGTACAAACAATCTGTTTTGTGAACTTCCAGTTTTTTCTTCATTCTTTAAAAGATGTCAAATTGAAGATGTCTAATAGACATCTAATAGACATGTAAGTACTGCAAACTAAAAACTTAATTAACAATACTTTAAACCTCATTAATCTTACAGAACATGTTTGGCATCGTTATGTACCATGTTGCCATCAGGTGACTGGCAAGATCTATTAATGTAATTAATGTATTAATGTAATCCTAAAGTCCTAGTTCTTGAAGACTACGTGAGGTAATTTTACAAGTACAAGAAATTACTCAAGAAAGAGAATATAAGAAGAATGCTAAAATACCAAAATACTTCTTAAAGTCTAAGGTACAGAATGATGACAAACTTTCCTTATTAAACTTTTTATTAAAATGGAGCTATTTTTACATATTTAAAATACTTTATATCCAAATTATGCTATATTTATGAAAAAAATTGTATGCAAATACATAAAAATATGTAAAATCAGAGCTAAGCAATAAAAAGTAATATATAGCATGTTCCAAAATGTATTTCAGGACTAGAATACCTGAGTGTTCAATAAGCTGGTTTTCTGCATTTCACTGATTTAAACAGTTAAATTTAATAATGTATCTGATCTCATATAAAGCACTTTGGTTGGGAGAAACTGCATGGAAAAGGCAGAGATCAAGCAGAGATATTACTCAAGGCCTGTCTTCAGAGTCTTCTTCCACATGAAGATCCACGGATTGAGATGCTAAGAAGGACTCCCATGTAGCAAGGCACTTAAAAAAACCAAACACACACATGTGAGTACAGCAGATAGATTTCTGTAAACTGTTAGCCAAGGAGAAAAGGAAGAAAAATAATATCAGAATACATACACGTTGTCACAAGCTGCTTTTGTGGGACTATGGTAAGAGCAAAATATGGTTTCCTAGGCAGCTCAGTGATATGCAAAATGTTAGCTAACATGCTGAGTGAGCTGTAAAGGTCACTTTTACATAATGACAAGCACACAGTGTGAGCATTGTAATTGTATGTTGTAGCATGGAAGATGCCAACATTAATTATGCTCCTCTTTAATCTCTCCCTTTAGTTACAGGCAAAGATCTCTTCCAAACAGAAAGCACATTGTCAGGCACAGTTCCCTTATAATCTCTGTGGATTCCTATTGTACACCAAATTTGCCCTCCAATTTAAATTAAACCAATTTTTTTTTCTAAATAAGGAGAGAATTCATTTTCCCCCTAAGTAATGGGAAAGAAATGGGACCAGAAAGGCAGGAGCTGGGAGTAGGGAAATCATCATCCTTACAAACAAGTGGCATTTCTCTCCTCATGGAAAAATGTATTTATAATTGTAAAAACTAATTTTTTTTAATTTGAAGCATCAAACCTGTAGGAAGCAAAATTAAAAAAAAAAACCCAACCCCCAAATGACTTCGGTTCAGTTTGGCTTAAACGAGTGTTGGCAGCTTGGCAAGCCATTCTAAATCATAGATTAGCGTTCAGAGCCCTGGCAAGGCTATCACTAGGTAACCCATAGTGAGCTGACACAGCACCAGGCTTCTACTGTTTCAAGTCTGTCAGTAGAACAGGGCAGGCAAATTCATGCAATAGTTTTCTTGTTCTGATGCTGTTGATAAAAAGCCCTTGAAATGGAAATGATCTAACAAAATTTTGACTTATACAGTCATACGTATTGTTCTAGACGTTGCAGCTTATTTACTACTTACTCTACATAGGTTTTTTTCATGAAGAATCTGTATTATTCACAATAAATAGGTCTTCTGAAATTTCTCAGGAAATACATATTAAAACCTGGATAGCACACTCCATTTATCTGAACTTTGAATTAAATCAGTACGCTGAAAACAGCATCATTCCCTAACTGAAATCTTTTGCCATAAGCTATTTTAGCCACAGCAATTTGCTAAGCCTGGCTACAGTGGAACATGTAGCATCCATCTGTCATTGCTTAGGAGACGTGGAAATTACACTGCTTGAACTTACAGCCACCTAACTCTGTTAGACATTTCTTGTGAATGACTTCCAAACTCTGCCATTAAATATGCAGATTTAATCATATTACACTGGGTCCTCGTAGAGCTGCATATCTGTGTGCAAGCTGATGAGTGGGAGGACCTGATAGTCACGAATAATGTTAAAGTATAAGCTCAAAGAGCAAAACAAAGAATACACACAGGATGACTGGAGCTGGGAGAATCCATGACGATAGAAGGATGCAGAACCAGGGATACCCATAAAATTATGGGTGGCAAAAGTAACAAGAAAAAGCAAACAAAAGTCAGCAGTGGTTTTGTCTCTGAAGGCATAAGAAAGTAGATGTGCGTCTGCAAGATAATGAGAGTGGTTAAAACAGCCAACTGAACTAAAAGAGCACAAAGAAAAAGTATGTGAGAGCTTATTCTTGCATAGGTTTTTGGTTGTTATCAGCCCTGTTAGAGATCATTCCTGTTATTCATATATTGTCCCCTAGACTATGAATACTATGAATCTACTCCCTCAATCTTTCTTTTCTGATCTTTCTGACAAAAGCCCCAACTAACTTGTGCTATTGCACACAACATTATGCTGCTGTTCAGAGTACATCTAATGTTTGAATTACTGTGAAAAAGAGAGGACTAACTGGATAAGATTCATGTGGAAATCTGCTTTCTTCATTGACTTCTTGAAGAAATGTTATTTCAAAATGGTACATCAGGGAGAAACAGTGAAGATACTGCTGGCATTAACGGTGAACTGCAAGTGGTGCAAACTGGTTTTTGACTTAAAAGGTCTTTTTGACCTTTTGTATAAAGCCTTTAAGGTTTGATCATTAGATTCTCCCATACTTCATGTGCCACTGTGGCACCTGAATCCATCTGAGATGCTTGAGCTGGAATGTGGCATCTTGGTTTTAAAATGTCAGTGAGGCAGGTGCTAGCAATGTGTCTTCACTGTGGCACTCAAACTCATCAGCTTCTGTTTGCTAGAGCCCAGCCTGGATTACCATCCTAGAAAGCTGCAAGGCACAGCTGTTTTCCTAGGCTTTTTCTAGGTATGGGACAAGAAAACATCACTTTTTATTGAAGAGTCTTTTGTTGGCAATGACAGATTTTTTTCCTGAACCACAGTTTAATTTATACCATGTAGCTCCATGTTTAGTCATTCTGTAATTTCAGTAATGTGAGTTAAAATACATATATCAGCACTGGCTGCACTGTGAAAATGGCTGTCTTATCTTTGCAACACTGAGCCAAACTGCACATGTTAAAATGCAATCACAGTATAGTGCTTAACCAAAGAGATACAATCTACTGAAGTCTTTCCAGACAAAGATGCAAAGCATTTTTTCACACAAGTTATTCAGTTTTTAATTCATCTCTGTTTATATAACCAAAGAACATTTTTCAAAATGTAAGAGGTGGCTCATTTCACTGTCAGACATCACAGTGCTGCTACAGCTGACAAGTTTTATAATTAACCATACCAAAACAAATCTAGGTCTCTGTGCCTCAGGCTCAAGCTTTTCATACTGTGAAGCATGAACTGCATAAACGACATTTTGTTAGTGATGTATACTTCAACATTATTACAGAGTGATTCTACTCCGTTCTCCTGGGAGGCTGAAAACAGAGATCTAAATAGAGGATCAGCCAGTTTTCACAAAGGATACAGAAAGGAAAAAAAAACAAAACAGAAAATCCAAACGGAGGAAATTAAATGTCTTTGCACAGGATTGAAATTCATAATCCAATTACTTGTAAAAGCCCAACGGAAGAAATAAAAAAGCCTAAATACACAAAATTAAATAGCAAGAGTTTAAATAAGGCTATTTTACCTGAAATATTCTGATTACTACTGCAGGACATGTGTCTATTCTGCAACATCAATCTTAGAAAAAAAAAATCAGAATTTTTTTCATATAGTACAATTGCATATATAAGTAGAAAGGAGATATGAAAACAGAACATGCAGTAAGGATGCTAGCAGAGGGAGTGTGTCACAGACCGTGTGTGTTTCTGTTCCAGTTCCCTGTTATCCATGGTTGATACCTTAAAAATACCCTTCATTCTGGCGTTTTTTGGAGTAGAATCTGAAAATGAAGCCTTGTTTGTGTCCAAGGCAGAAAATATTTTCATAATTTCTGGGTGCGAGGAAACAAAAAATAGAGTGCAGAGAAACAGTTATTACCACTATAAAAAATATCTTCCTAAAATTATTTAAAAGAAATTGTAATGGCTGAAGTGAACAAGGGTTCAAAGATGGATCCTGTCTTTGAAGCGACATGCACAGAAGACAAACGGACTCAGCCCTGTGGGAGCTTTTGAAAATCACATGAAGTTTGTTAGCTAAATTCCCAGGCATGGCTAAGGTAGGATGTGATCAACATGCATGAGCAGCTAACTCTGCTACACGACCAAATGACTAGTTAAATGCATCACTAGAGAGGCCTCTAGGGCAAGCAACAAATCTCATCTATTTTTCTACAGCTTTTACTAGATTGAGAGGTACATAAGGGCTTTGGAGTTAGTGGGAAGTTGCTGTAATCGGGCATGAGTATTGTTTTGCCCTAGTGAACCTTTTGGATCAATTCATGCCTGTACAACAATGTAGGTCACCGAAATAGACTAAATTATGCTTGAGATATTTAAGACAATCAGGAAATTATTTATATTTTTGGAAAAGAGTGAGGTGTGTCAATACCAACATGAATCTGACTATATCAAAGGTACCTTTAGCTTTTTATCTGATTAAGATGGAAAGGTTTAAAAGGATTAGTTTGACATGAGATAGATAAAATTAGATGCTACACTTTAAAACAAAGGTTTATCCATGCTCAACAAAAACCATATTCTTTCAATGCCAAAACTAACTTAAGTATCATCCTACATTAGGAAAAACCACCAGTCTTTCTGCATTTACTAGAGTGTCTCATGAGCAGTAAAAAGCCAAACTCATATTTGAGTTTGCTGGAATTATAATGTCTAGTTATCTTTGGATTGAGCTGCCACTTATTCCAGTGTTCTTCCTGAATAGAATAAGTTAACAAAGTTCTTTGCTGAGAAAAATTGAAGTATTTCTTTTTCTTTGATGCTGTAAATGTCCTAGTGACTCTAGTAAACACATGAGTAAAAAAGGAAAAATGTAGCATATGTTTAATTGTTTTTGCTCTTTGAAACCAGAGTTCAACATTGCCAGGTTTGGTTTCACTAGGTTGCACCAGGAACACTTCAAACACGCTACCTAAATACTACTGGCATCATCAACAACTTCGTATTTTGGTTATTGTAATGCTGCATCTTTAGAATATCTATACCTAAATTAATGAAAATACTCTTGGTGACAATCAGCTTTCTCAGCTGGTAAGCTCCACCCTGTGGACAGTTTGTGATTCCAGCTGTTTGGCAGATATCTCTTCTGGACTAAGGTGTCCAACAATAGTGTCATGCCTAAGGCATCAGGAAAAGGAATAAAATAAATGGTACAGTGTTAACTCATGCTGCATTCAAGAACTTTTCTCTGTAAGGCAAACAAATCAACGCTATTTAGTTCACAAATACAAGTAAAGTTCTGAACTTTTAAAAATCAAAGCCTTTTTATATAGTTTCAGAAAATCCTCCCTATTTTAGCTCTGCATTTACAGTTACTGTTAATGCAGTATTTTTTTGGCTTTAAGCCTTTGTGGAATACAGGTAGACTTAAGAATGTATTCAAATCTTTTCCAGAGCAACGAAAAGGAAGTAGAGAACTCTATGAACTCTTGAGACCAGCTACAGGAATGCCAAATGACTGGTCAGTCATGGTAATTTTTGGCTACTAAATTACATATTTAGATATATTATAATTAAACATGTACATTATCACAGGAAAGCTTTTATTTTCATAGGCCTGCACAGGAGCACTCTGTAAATTTGCGACACTGGGCTTTCATTTGTTGTCTTTGTTAGCACAGCATTGAGAGACACAAAGAGATTGGTGATTTCATGGCTGTAGAAACAAAGCAACACTTCTTATTCAAGTATATTAAATAGAAATAGTCAATAAACTGGAGGGCTACAGGAATGACTTCATTTGTTTTGAATTAGTAAAGCTGGAGAAATATAATTACAGGTAACACTTTAAAGTAGCACTTCATTAATGTGAACATTAATTCAGCTTAAAGAGACATACTCTTTAACGAGATACTCTTAAGACCTAAATGATGCTTGATAAGTTGACAGCAGAATCCTTAAGCAACTACAATTACAGAAAACCCCAAACAAATATAAGGTCATAGTCTTTTCCCATATTTTGACAAAGAGGAAAAAGCATTTCAGAAATTCTAGTCTACTTTGACACATTGCTATGTTGTATTTGATCACAATGACTTGAGTTTTATACAGTTTTGAAAGACTGGATTCTCTGCTGCAGAAGCCATCAGAAAATAGATGGCTGTCTCTCATTATTGTAGTTCTCAGAAATTTAAGGGATGCAGAAAATGACTCCTGGTTTGCTTGTACACCTGGGAAATGAAGTCAGCAAGGGGAATAATGAGGAGCACAGTGAAATGCTGCTGCAGAGAAGGGAATGGGATGCTGCTCATGGAGAGGCAAGAATAGGAGTTTAACTTAGGGTAGGGGGGAGTTGTGTAAAGGAGGAGAAGCAGGTAGTGACTTAGTTAGAAAGCAGGAGGTGATTCCTCACAGGAGATGGAGAGAAGAGCCAGGCAACTGAATCACATCCATGGCATCCACGGTGCCTGGGAAAATGCACAGAATGTGCTTTGAGAAATAGAAAAGGTAAGAAATGAAGGATGCTACAGCAAGAAAAGGCTTAGTAAGCATCAAATGGTGCATCAAAAGTCTGAATGAGTAACTTCAGACATGTGAAAGAATGTTAATGATGCAAGTAATGACTGAAAAGAGAAAAACACAGTAAAAGGAACTGTGTTTGTGCGTAAGTTTAATGAGTTAGACTCAAACCCTTAAGGCAGGATTTTGTTTCCTACTGAAAGCATAAAAATAATATTCTTCTTCCCAGGTTTCTGAGATTCCCTTCCTGAAGTTTCACTTCCAAACAGCAGGAGCAGATGCCAGAGCTTCTTTTACTGCTCCTTTCAGGAGTGCATTGCACACCTGTAATTTTAATAGAAGGGCATCTGACAGTAATGAGTAATCACTTCTCCAATAATTAACCATCAACATTAACCACAGGTTTCAGATAAATATGTATTTTAGATCAAAACTCCCAATTGAAATATTAATTTTATCAAATTCTCTTGAATGTCAGGATTAAAATAATGATTTTCTGATAAAACAGAGATATTGGTAATCCCTCGTGTTGCAAACAAGGAGTGATACAGTTAGCACAGTGTTGTCTGTTATTGCAACTGCTGCAGTAAGGTAAGGTGGTTTTTTTCTAAAATATAGATCTACTGAAACAGTAAACCCATTTTATGCAGATTTCAATATTCCAGAAAAGCACAAAGAATCATGTCTCAGTATAAACCAATTTGTCCAGTATTTCAGAGGCTATTTAAGAAGAACCATCAGCAGTTACAGAAATAGCTGAATCATTTTCTGCAGTTTGTGGCTAAAATAATAATTTCATGTACAATATGAGCTTTGGTGTTCTGAATTAAACTTCTGATTCAGCAAAAAGCATTTCTAGACAGGAAAAAGACACAAATAATTATTTTTGAGTTTTAGCTAACCATTCATAAACAAAATATTCCAATATATTCAGCACTGGTTTAGCATACCTATTGCTGCTATAGAAGTCAGAGACCATCAATAACTGAAGACAATGTGAGAGGATGCCAAAAATTTGCTGCCTGATTTCAGAAAATATTTTGATCTTAATTTGTAACAACAGATTGTCAATGTCCATGCATCTCACAGACTGCATGATAATTAATTAGACTTGATGATCAAGAGCTCTGTCTTTTCAATTATGTTTTACAAAATGCTTTGTAAAATCAGGGCACTGCCATTGGCTAATGGGCGATCCATAAAAGGTTCAGACTACAGGACTGGAAGTTACGGATATCGAAATATATCTGCAAAAAATACTAATTTATGATTAATAGATGGCTTAGTGTATTCCATTTTTTCCCTAAAATAAGGAGAAATTCTTTAAAAAGCTTCAAGACATCTGGGATATTTTCAAAATGCGCATTTCAATCAACAGCGTGTTCCCCATGAGAAACTTCACAGAATGCTTAATGTATTTAGTTGTATGTTTTCAAGTTCTCCTTCTTAGTATATATGCTTGTAAATGGAAATTCTTACCAAGAATATTACCCGTGGCATTAGAGCTGAAAATAAAAATCTGACAGAATAACATTGAAACGTTTTCCTCACACAGGATCATTTACACAGGTTTGAGCCTTCCAGAGGGCTTCTTCATGCAGTTACAGCAAAACGTTTCCAAATAGCAGCTGACATTGAACCGAAAAATATGTTCCAAATTGTTGTGGTTAATAAAACAAGAGTGCCCTCTGTCGATGATGAACTCAGGATCAACCACTTGGGCACAAATAAAATACATTTTGCTTGAAATGTGTCAAATTTAAGGATAACTGCCTCCCTCTTTCCACAAAAGGTGATTCTGAAGTTAACAATGTTCGAACTAAAATGCAAAAAATTCTCTTTACAGACAACCCATGGACTTTTTCACTGAAATAATCAATGAAAAACTAACATTGCTATGAGAAACAGTTTTACCTCTTCATAAAAACGGAGATTATTTTCAGCCACATTAGTGAATGTTGATCTCATATCACACTGCATGTTCTGCTTCCACCTGTCCCAATCCGCTTTCAGAGCATTGTTGGCACGTTCAACTTTGTCTTCCAGTTTCCCAATCTCTTCTGAGAACTACATATTAATTGTAAACATTAAAAAAATTAGAAAAATCACCATTTCCAAAATTATTGAAATCAACTGATTGTAGTGGAGACAAACAGAACTGCAAAAGCAAGGTTTGTATTTAACTTAGCACAAAAAATCATATTGAAATATCATTCCTAATGAATAACTCACTATAATTTTTGAAATATTAATAACAAAAATTCTAGACCAGAATTCAAGTGTTCCTGAAGATTTTCTTATTGGCTGAGAAGTTACAGCCTCTGGCACCTCTTCACTAGCCCTTGACAGTAATGCATCTAAAAAGTAAAATATAGAGGGCTTTACTGAAGCAGAATCAACTGTACAAATTAGATTTGACCAGGAAAAATGAGAAAACCCTGACAGAACCTTTGATAACCTCAGGAGAAACCAGAATGGGGAGAAGACAGAAGACATCAAAAGCACAGCCTTTCTGATTTCTTGCCTGTCACATTGTAATCTTTTTTTGTGGAACCATATGAGGGAAAAAGAAATACAGAAGTGGAGAAAGAAATTAAACCACAGGACTTCAACAGAGAAGAAACTCTTTTACAATGATCCAGGATCCAAAACCTCGATGGTCAGTCTACAGATGTTACTGGCTTCTAATTACTGAAGATGCACAGAGTGACTTTACAGCTAATGGCATGAGTAAGTGGACAGCGGCCCTCTCTTTAATGAGTTTTGTAGTCTTCTCAGTAATGTTGTTACCTATTGTCATTTACTAATCAGCAGTGTCAGTTCTGGCTGGCACCCAGTCACAGAACTAGATACATCTTCTGTAGCTACAGTGCAAATTCATCTGCTGCAACTGCAGAGCAACTGTGGAGCAGGAGGGGTCAGGCAGGAGCATCACCAGTAAGGAACATCAAGCAGAAAATTTAATTCCTTTTATTGCTTCCATTGCAACTCAGATCACATACACCACTTCTTCCTTGTGTTCTGCTATCAGGCAAATAATCTTTTTCCTCATACACCACCTGTGTAAACTTGGATAGCTACTCGTGCTTTCTGCAGAGATGATGTTTTCAATGATAGGAAGTTCAGGATTCCAGGATTAACTTCCAGGAATTTCTTTTGTGCTCTTCTTCTGTGTTCTTCTACTGGCAGAACACAGAAACATCAAAATTCAGAGCAGGATGTGGAAAGTCTTGGTGCACAGCCTCCTGCTTGAACCATGCGGGGGGAACAGGGATCCAAGTGCAACAGCAGTGCTGCCATCAGACACAAACTAAGCTGCACTGCCTGAAATGGTCACAGAACCTGGATCCCTTTCAGTTTGACATACTAGAATCCTTCAACTCTTAAAAAGCCAGAAACTCCTTTGCTAGTAAAACTGAAAAATTCATCTGAATGGATGTTTTCCACATTCCATAATAAACATTTTTAGTTAGACTTGATTTCTACACTGATTTTCTTTGGCACACTTCTAGATTAATGAAATACCGGTTATTAATCAAGAACAAAATGCAAAATATTATTTCTACTTTACTGAAAAGCCCAAGTTCAATTACCTAGCCAGACCAGTAATCAAGCTACAGACAAGGGTAATTTCAACTACCAACTCTGTATTCAAAATGAAAAAGTTAATCCAAAGTTTAAATGTGGGGGAATTACCTTTAAAGGAATTATAGGCAACTATATTTGGTATTTTGAGCATGTCCCATGCTAATTGCTTTTCCTTCAAAGACCGAAAAATGAATGCACACAGAATACTGAAAACAGTGACATTTTTATGATGATTTAGAGTAGGAAAGGCAGTTGAATCCATTTTCTGCTTTTGCAAAAAAAAAAAAGTTCCTCTATGGGAATGCACTGGGTCTACACACAAAAAGAACTTCTCCAACTTAGTAGTCCTGGCTCCAGCAGCTTCCCCTTATCTCATTCTTTATATCTCTAAGTAATTTATTTTACAGTTTGTTTTTGTCTGTCCTTTTCTAGGAACTACGAATTTCTCCCACAGTGTAGTCCCAGTGTGACATAGATGGGCAAACTCTGTTCTACATTCCTGCCTGGACATGCAGTTTAAACATCCCCCTCTAAAGCCCCAAAGAAACCATGTGTTGTATGAAGGCAAGGGTCTGACTTAAGATCTAGGGGCAGCATTATGCTGTCATCATCTCAAGTAGAGAGGTTTAATATCTACTTTTTGAAAATGAAAAAGAAACATAAATGCTACCCTCTTCAGCTGCCATGACAGCAGAAATCAAAGAAGAATGGCTTGATCTTATAAAAACATCTACCTAGTGTGTTCCTCACTTACAAAGTGTAAATTGTTACAATTTATCCTGCAAATTAAATAGGATTCTGAATCCATTTTCTTACATTGATCTCACCGAGGCAGCTAGTGTGAGAAATTGAATCTCACATCAGTGATCACCAGAGAAGGACAGCACAGTGCTCATCAGATATCAGACCATGGGACAGGAAGGTGGGAGCCAGACATTGTTAGGGCAGAGTGCCACCAGATGTGAAGAATGTGACCTGTAGCCAGAGACCTGGCCCAATAGCCAAATTACCTGGTGACACAGCATTTTATACTACCTCACTATGCAAAATAGCATGAATTTCTATCTGCTACATGAATTAATCATACAGCTTTAAATTAATCCTTTAGCCTGGAGTTAAAACACAAGCTATACTCAGAATGTAATAGATTCAGCATTTCATCTCTTTACTACTCAGTTTAAAGCCTGAATCCTTAAGTTAGCATTTAATACTTATCTGGTTCTGTCAGAACACATTATACCAACCTTTTGTCATAATTACTATCAGCACTAGTGGCAGTACTAAAAGTGCTAAAAATATCCAAACCACAGAGGGATACACGAGCATTGCTGGGTAGCCTTCAGAATGGAGCATGGGAGCGATGGAGCAGCATATCCCAACAACTTTACAGCCAGAGCTCTGGAGGTAAGAAAGGTCTAGATAAGCAAGAGGGTACCAAAGTCCTCCCAAATATCTCTGTCAGAGCCTGTATCCAAAATCACAGTATTCAGAACATCCATACCCTAAACAACTGCCGCCTTCATGGACCAAATTTTGGAGCGGGAGACATCTTTTTCGGTTTTTAGCAGCACCACAAGCAGCTTCCTAAAGGCCAGATTGCAGAAGCACAGCTCAAGAAAACTTTTATTTTTTTCCCAGACAATGAGGTTAATGTCCCATAAGGTTTAATTTGCAATTCCAGCCTATTTCATCTGCACTGACCTTGGGGATGTTTTACATTCTTCTGCTGTACAAGCTCCTGTTTGTTAAATCATTTAATGTTTGCCGTGACCAATGCTAAAGATCTCACAGCCTTTTATCAGCTCTAATGACAGTCTGAGTCTCCTTATCTGTGGTGGAAATGTACTTCAAATGAGATTAGAGTTCATGCCACTCATTGTCAGCAAAATTTCTGGCTACTAGATTGCACTGACAAGTTCAATCTGACATCTATGAGATCATTAGAAGCTACAGGAGTTCTGCTTAGGAATAGAAATGGGCAAAGATATCCAAACTCAGTGTTTGACACCAGTTCCAATAACAGTGCCTGTGTTATGACCACCTATTATTTTGAAATCAGTTTGGTTAGAAATGTCAGAAAAATGTTTCAACACATAATACAAATTAAAAAATAGTAAAAAATTTACCAAGAAAACAGTTAAAAGTCACTTGAATGGTTAAAAATACAGTACAGCATTCTCTCTGACCAAACTATCCTTACTAGAAAAAGCCTTCAGCTTCTAATTAAGAAAATGTCTTCAGGATACAGCTGCCACTCAATTAGAGAACACAGAATTTTATTATCAGATTAAACTAACAGACATCTGTTTTACTGCTTTTGTGAGACTGCAAGGAGAATCAGGCTCTCAGAAACAGGATTCTCTGAAATGAGTAAAAAACAGAGGGATTGAACAGATAAAGCAAAGGTCTGAACACCTGGGTAATCTCCCTGTCCAAAGGCTTTACCAAAACTGCAAATGCAGATATTGAAACATAGAAACAGTGAAAAAAGATAACTTTGGGCAAGCTGATCTCAGAATCCTCCTGGAAGCAAGTACAAACCACTGTCAGTATCAAATCAACATGGTGTGATGAACACTGTGCTAAAGTAAAAATATTCCTTGATTTGTAACAGTTCAGGAAAAAGGTAATACATGCCCCTTGCCTGAGGACTCCATCAGATTATAACAGGAATACATCCTGAAAAGACCATGTCCTGCCATGCAATGTTCTCTTTGGTGGACAGCAATGACACTGGCTGCTAAACAAGCTGCATGAAACTGGAATTCATCACTGAAGGGACCTGCCATTGCTACCCTGTTCCCAGCCTAGGGGACTTCTCCAGCATTTTATAAGAGCTTCAAACTTTAAACCAAGGAAAAAGGACAGGAGAAGAAGCAAAGGAAGCAAAGAAACAAAAACAGATTAGAGAATACAGAGGCATACACTGCGCTAAAAGGACATTATTTAGGCCTGACAGTTTAACAATCAAGAATTTTAAAAATGCCAATACTCTTCTCAGAAGTTGCTTTTAATTGGCTCACTGACCCTTGCTGATGGTTTTGGGGATGCCTGTCCCAACAGGCTACCAGTTACAGTCTGACTTCACTAGAATGAATGAAGTGTCATACTGGACTTAAAATGCAGAACGTTTCATTTAAAATAAGCTCAGTGAACAACTCTGCTGATTCTAACCACCTCCTCTCCCTCTCCTACATCAATGGAGCAGCAGCTACAAGAGCACTGCAGCAAGCCTTACTTTCTTTTAACTCCAAGTGTGGAAGCAAACGGAAATGCTAAAAATACTCTGCGATACAGTCTGTGTTGACAAAACACAGTGGTCGCCCACTATGACCAGCCTTTCTCTCCAGCAGCCCATCTACCCAAGTGCTGCATCCTTCTCATGAGTGCCTTTGCCTGGCACACACAGCTACAAAGGATTATTGTAGAGACACCATCCAGTTACTGCACATGGCTTCAGAGGACACTTCTTCTGCACGTCTTTTGCGGTCAGAATAAGGCCTGGAAGATTTCAGCTTTCTGTAAATACTCACCAGATCCTTTTCTGTCTTTCTATTGGCTAAAGCATCAACTTTGGAATCAAGCTCGCCTTGAATTTGGTCTCTCCTTTTCAAAACACCCTTAATACAGAAGAAGAAGAAAAAAAGAAGTAAACTGCACCACATTTTAGCTATTTCAGAAAACTATCAAACACCTTGGCCATTTAATAATTCTGACATGATAAAGATACTTTCATTTAAAAAAAATAGAATTGTAAAGACTTATTTTCCCATACCTATATTTTATGTGTTTTTCAAGAATCTTAGTAAATCCAAAATCAGTGCCATAAGAATCTGCCATACACATCGCTAGTTATATGAGCAAAACTGCAACAGCAGTTTAGTTGGTATCAGCTCAACTTACTATATATTCATATCTCAAAACAGCAACATGAGTTTGCCAAATCTCATGAATGACAGTATTTTCATTGAGTAAAATTTACAGTATAATGCAGAATGACTAAAAATGGTATACAAGGCCTTACTGAAAGTGTGACTTTAACCTTTAATATTATTAAGTGCCAAATGTAGTTCCAAAAAATCAGAAAAAAATTAAAAGAAAAATCAGATAAAATTATCATAGGAATGATAGCTGTTCTACCATTGATAAATGTCCTTATTTTCAGAATATGTAATTATTACCTCCTTTAAAACTGTCCTATCAGGTATTGGGTTTTTAGCATAATGTAAAAAAAAAAAATCAGAAAGGGGAAGGAACATTACTTGTTAAGCTACAAAACAGGAACAGTATTAACAAATTAAATTTCCATTTCCAGTGCTAATTTGCTCTGAGACCTTGATGAAGCCTTAGAAATTTCTCATTGTCTTCGCTTCCTCATCTGTAAAAGCACACTCAGGTATGTTTATCTTGGAGAAGTGTTGCAAGGCTTTAGTCCCTTTGAAAAAAAATCATAAGCAGGACATATAATTACCAACCTCAAAACCTTCTTTTACTTTACCTTGCCACAACTGGTTTTACTGCTCCTGCTGCAGAGATGTTCAGTATTCACCTCTAGCACAGGACATGTTGAAACAGCACAGGGCACAAGCAGCTCTACCTTCTCTAGCTCTCTTATTTGACTGAAAATCTCTCTGAGATCTTTATCAAACACAGTAGAATAATTTAGGAGGTTTTTTCAAAAAATTTTTCAGTGTTTCTTTTTGATCAGGTAATCACTATAAAAGTGGGTAAACTTGACTTGGGCTATTCTGAGTAAAAGATTAGCAATATATACAAATGCTTATAAATCTGTTCTTCAATTGCTCAGAATCTTTTGGTTGGATAAATATAGAAAATGTTTAGCTATAAGCACAGAAACAAAACAAATGGCTGGAACAACTTTTCTTTGTAATACAAATGATTTCTCTTTTTTACTATTTATTTTGCCTCTTTTAAAACTGTTTTAATGGCTGCTATCACAAATTATAAAACAAAACTGACTATTTTAATATTAAGGTGCTATAGCTATAGACTAGTGCTGACTTCTAATGACAAACAGAGGGACTTTATTTTTAAAACATATTATTATACTTTTGCAGTTTTTTGCTGTAATATTTAATGGTACCCTGCCACAAAACCTCAAATTCTTTTATGTGAATTCATAAACAATTAATGCTGTAATTTGTACCCTGAGGGACAGCAGGTTTGTTCTGTGGGTCAGTAAGGAAGGAGCTGGTCCAGATGTAGATATTTTAGCTGTGAATTCATTTCTTTCCCCAGTTAAAGGCTGAACTCACAATACTGGAAAATACAAGGACTGTATTGTATTGATCACACCTTTTCTGCACATTTGCATGTGCTCTTGGCAGCACCTCACAAAGGCCCCTGTGGTGAGGGGTTAAACACACCTCTGAAAGCAGGTTTACTACTGTGTGGCTTGCCATGGTATTTTTAGTGTGATTAGTTTTACCCTCTCCAAACTCCAAGAGGGAAGTAAGCCATAAGAAAAATAACAATCCATAGTGAACAAAGGGAAAGGGACAATTGTAGAACAGCAGAGAGCTGCTGAGGGAAGACTTTTCCTCTGGACAGAACCTCATGGCAGACTAATGCTGTTGCAAGTGCTGCATTAAGGAAACTACAAGCAGAAAAAAATGCAGTGGGGAGTGCATGAAGAGCCAGGTAGTCACCCTGGGGCTTGTCCACAGAAACCTCTTTGTGCTCTGGACAGAACAGAACGCCTGAGAAAGTGCGAGAGTGAGCCAGGCTGCAAAACAGAAGGTCACGGGCAGGCAAAATCTCTTCCGTAGCATGAAGGCCAGGATCACTCATGGGTAACAGAAATTCTGAAAAACTACGTCTGGAAGTTGGGGAGACGAAGAAGAGCTGCAATTGCTAGGATGGTAATCTCTTTAAACCTTTATGCAAAGCAGTACCTACCTTCACCTGCCAGCATGTACATGTAAATACAGGACACGTCCTGTGAGATACAGAACATTTCGTATGGCCCCTTTTTCAGTGAAGCTTGAGTAGGACCTGACAGTAAGCCTTACTGAGAAACTCTGCACAGTATCAGCAAAGGCTCAGTTAACTTGGGTCTTGCCTTACCCATGGCCTGTAACACACTGTCAGCTCCTACTCAGAAGGCACTGCAGTAGGAGCTGGACTCCCAGCAGTAACAGAAGAACAGATACTGCAGCTGGCATTGCTCAAAACTTAGACAAAGAGGGGTTTGTACAAATGTTCTGTTTTCTGGAGGCAGCAAAGTGGGAATTATGACATGCTGAATTCAGTTACTTAATTATGTTGATTATCCTCCAGCACTGAGTATATCAACTCTGGAGTCTGATTTTTTACATTCTCTCGAAGTGTAAGAAAAATACATACATAAAGGGAACTGAGAGCAGTAGCTCATGGCAAAGACTAACACATGCTTATATAATGGCGCAGGGACTGGAAGTTCCCTGCTGTTCTGGAAAAAGAAAACGTAGTTTAGGAACAGCTCCTAGAAAGGGAAAAACCTCTCCACTCCTTTTCCCACACACAATCTGTTACTCAATGAGTTCATATTCTGTCAGTGTCAGAGAAGGTCTTTCACAGCTGCTGTTCCCAAACCCTTTCAGTTACAATGCAGAGCTCACTAAAGATGGCAAAACCAGACACCCTAGCACAGCTACCAAGGGCTGCCTGCCAGGCAGAATTATTAAGCTCTTCTTATTTGGAAGGGGCATCTCTGGCCTGATTAGCAAGGGAAACAGGACCAACCAGATTCCCTGCTAACGGACAGTTATCCTATGCTGCGCATGTTTTGAGTAAATACAGGGACTGTAAAGTTGTTTTCATCATTCTCTCCTAGACTTTTTCACTGGACTAAGCCAGATTTTATTTACAGCCACAAACAATCCTTAAAGAAACCTTACCATCAGAATTTCACTGTAGAGGACATATTCATGTAAAATTGGCAGCAGGTTTTCTGAGAGCCCTGCCATTCGCTTCTCCGTAGCTTTGCAACACCTGTCGATGCAGCTGGCAATGCCCTTCAGAGAGTCAGCTATATCTTCTTCTGATGCTGACCAGAGGGTGTGGATGGGGCCGTATTCCTTCATTTCATTAAAATAGTCTTAACAGGAACATATATACATATATTACTCTTTGTTCATTAATAGATGTCTAAGTGATACTAATTACAACCTAATTACTGTGAATAAACCAAGAGGCTGAGGCTAGTGTTTAAATTTGCTCAAATGACCAAGGTAAGTAAACTCCAGCTCACTGTTTATGAATAAACTAATAAATTAACGTAATTAAGTAGTTTCAAGAAATCTATCAACAAGAATGCCCCAGTCGTTTCAAAAGGACACACGTACTCAGGCAGACCTGAAGAGTTGTACTCACACACCCTGCAATTATGACCCGTGTTACTTCACATTCTCTTCATACAGAGGGACAGGAGCCATAGCAGCCGTGGGCAGCAGTTGGTCCGACTTGTGTCTATTACCCTGAATTCTTCTGCTGCTTGGAACAGTAACATCCTGAATCCTGTCTTGGTTATTAAAACTAGAAGCTTTGTTATGTCCCAAAAGCTTCAAAAGAAACACTGAAGTTCACGCCAGTTCTGCAGGTGTTATGTCCTTCAGTAGTTTTTATGAATTTAAATACAGGGATATCCTACAAATGGCTTCTCTTATGCCTCTAGACCAAAAGATAATCTGTAAGCAGAGAGAAGGCCCAGAATTCACTGTGGCATTTGGTAGGGCTAAACGTGGGTAAGGCTCCATATGAGCAGGAAGCTGCATGTTCACAGGAGGGTACTGTGAACGCACTGGTCATGTATCAAAAGTGCAACTTCATTGCTACTGAATTTGTAACTAAGAAATGTCCTAGAAAAGATGAAAGAAGTTGTGGGGCATGAAGGGTGTAATGTTTACTTTGAGATTAATTGGACAACAAAACCTCTATGGAAGATGTAATCAAGGATCCCACATTAAGCTGCTGCAGGCAAAATATCTGAATCACAGATATCAACAGTTCCTATCCACAGCAGTGCAGCCCTGCACACAACTGTTCTGACATGTGCTGTTCAGAAGATCTGGGAAGAAGACAGCATTTGGAAGCATGTCAATATTCTTAAGGTCTTCCAAGAATTTGGTAATGATGCCTTGAACCTACAGACCTCAGCTATTTCCATTGAAAGGAACAATATCAAAAGGAACTCTTTTCACCAACATGTATTTTCATTTTATAAGATCCTTCCAATTCAGTGAGGACATGCTGAGATCTGGTACCACACAATAAAGCACAAGGGCTCAGTTATTAAAGAACACAGTGCAGCTTTTCAAATTATACAGACAAGAAAATACCTCAAGTGCTGCCCATGGAAATTCTACTGAACAGGCATAGTCTGGGATCAGAGTAATTTCAGAATCTCAGAAAAGTCAGTAACTTAGCATTCCAGGTAGGAGTGCAAACTGCTGGTACTTAAGGAAAAAAAAAAGATCAAGCCATCCTTCTTATGAAAACTCTTAATAGACACAGCTTACCATGACAGAAATTATGCCCAACAGTAAAGCTATTAAAAAACAAAAATCTACTTGGTCAACACAGAAAAAAGGTGAAGAATGAAACAAACAAAAAAAAGAGATATTTAAAAATCTGGAATCTAGATAGCATTATGTCATTATGAGATTGCCATGAAAGTAAAAAACAAAAGGCCATTCAGTTTTCCAAAAACTGCAACTAGAAGGATAGCCACACACTATTTCCTTCTAAGTTCTTCATAAGTAGCTGAATGACATGTTAAAACTCTTCCTATTAAGAAATTATGAAAACTAACTGCAAGATATGTCAAAACCATAACCATGAAGAAAACCACAGTATAAACACAAATATCCCTTTTTCCTTCCTTGCTGGAAAGAGCATTTTGCCTGGCATGATAAAAACTAATTTACTTTTCCAATATATTAATTTCTTAAATCCATAAAACTGATACTTGTTTTCTACTTACCCCTTTCTTCCTTGTAAATCCTATGAGCTATTTTATCTAGTAAGTTTATTTTTTGACTAAATGTTTCCATGTAATCGCTGATTTCTGTAAACATTCCAGGACGATTTTTAACTGCTCCTCTTACTGAGGATGCTACAGCTCTGACGGTCTGTCCCATCCTGCTCAGCAAACCAGGACCCTGCTTCTTGTGTGAGGAGAGTTCCTAAAGACAGAATAAGCTCTGTTTACTTCCAAGTACGTTTTTTAATTCTCTGGAAATAATAGATAAAGCTTTTTTTTCTTTTTTCTTTTTTTTTAATAAAACTACATGCATAAGCCTCTCTGTGCCTTTTTAGTGTACAAATCATATAATTATTAGACAAGTGTCAGAATTGTACCTGTCATGTGCATTTCTTAGCCAAGCCTTTCTGAGCAAACACAAGCATGTCATGTATAACGCTCCACAAGAACAGTTAAAGATGGCAGAGGACCTTTACCCCTTCATTCCTCAGGGTAAGTTAACTAGTTTCCAATTTAGCTTTTTGAACAGGAAAGCAGAGGTAATGATTGCAGAAATAAGTAATTGAGAAAAGCAGACGATGTTCCCACTGGAGGAAGTAATCCATCTATTATTCTTTTATCTCTTTCTAAATGTTGCTAGAATAACCTTTGCTGAAGTTCAGAAGCAGGCATTTCTGAGTACAAAACTCCAATTTGAAACAATGCAACTGGAAATTCTTCTATGAGAGCAGTATAACTTTTAAAAAAATGAGATGAAAAAGAGAGTGCCACGCCAAAACAGTAATTAATTAAAAATACTGTTTTCCTCATAATCTTGGAAGTTTATATGGGTACCAAAAAGCATGCAGACGTGACATACTGTGAATTTGCCACAAAAAAACAGGAATGCAGTAACAAAAGCTACTTTGGAAGGTACAGCAATATTTAGGATCACATATAGGATTACCAAAACCACAGAAGAAAGGGTTATCTTGAGGTATGTATATTCCATAAATCCCTGCCTTCTTCTGACACCTCTGTAACAAGTCATGGAATGACACTACTGAATACTGAGACAGGGGGACTCCTGATACACTCTACTAACACAAGATGTGGTTTCACATAACTGTAGATAAAAACAAAGTAATTTTACCCAGGCTTGTGCAGTAAGAAAAATTTTGAAGTCTTCATTGAAAGTTAAAGTTGGATGATCAGCAACACGGTTCAAAAATTTATGTAAAGCTTTTCTTCGAGTCTCAATGAATTCATCACTGAATCGTTCCACCATGCCCCTCATTATGAATTTTTCAGGCAATGGCTAAGGAAAAAAGAAGAAATACATTGTATAATTTGCATAATATTAGGGCTATTATAATAGTTCTTCTACTTAATAAAAAAATAGGTATACCTTGTAAAATCTACCATGCAAAAACCCAAAAGCTATATAAAGTTATCATATTCAAATGAGGAATAACATGGTTCTTGTAACACACAGTGCAGAAGAACACAAATATGACTAAGAAAGAAGGACATAAATTATTGCAAATGGCACCATTAAAAACCTAATAAATACCTTTATGTGATTTTTAATTATCACATGCATATAAAGCTAATGAAAATAGGTTGGCCTAAGGTTTGTGAGAATTCAGAAGTTGAAAAAAGACCTAAAACATTTCTGTATAACACTGGAGCTATCTTATAAACAAATAAAAACAACAAACAAACAGGAATAATCAGTGTTGGATGTGCTTCTTCAAGTTTGCTCTTCAACCAAAGGAAATCCTGGTATCGTCTTCGAACTTCATATTCACTGGAGTCAAATTCACTGCGCGACGTCTGAAACACAGAGGCAGAAACAACAGGCTTAGGTTACAATACCAGAAAAAGAAAAGAACAACGCAGTTTTAGATTTTGGAGAAAACCTAGTTCTTGAAGGGAATGCACAAATGATTCTATTTTGCCCTGTTATTTGTTTGCTGTTATTTTAAAGTACAATGATCAACTCCTTGTAGAGTTAAAACACATCATGTTTTAGCAAGAAATCAAAATTCTATTGGGAAAAAAAGGAAAAAAGCAAGCATTTAGCTGCATTTCATGCAGTGACATCATAATTGTCCTACCACAATGTTTCCAAAATATTTCACTAATTACTTTAGTGTTGCATTTTCCTTTTAGCAATTACAGTTATGTTCATTACTTCTAGGGCGTTTCTTTTAAAGTGATTAGTAATCTACTAATGAGGAAAGTCCATTTTTTAGCATTCTGAATGAACCCCAAAAAGCTTACATACATCCTTGGGACCTGCTGACACTAATCAACAATCTCAACGTTCAAAACATGAAAACTTCAGCATACTACAGCAATAACACTTCTTGCACTGCTTAATGGATTCTGCATCCCATCATCAATTCCAGTTTTGTAGCCCTTTGTTAGAACTTGCCAACAAACCTTTAATGTCTACAAAAAATGCTTATTACAGAGTTACAAAATTGTCAGACCATGAGATTTATTTTATCACTGCTCTGTCTTCTAGTGGCAAGCCACAAAGAGCCCATGTTTTCATTAATACATGCTATTTAGCATTCATTGTTGCACAGAGATTTACAATGCGATGTAAGTAAATTCTAAAAGCCTCAAAACACGCTTTTGTAATCTAAGCATTTTTGTTGAATAAAAATTTTTCAAGGTATGTGGGAGGAATGCTATTACTTTATCATCAACAGCCAGCACTCCAAATTAAAGATGATAAGAAAGGACAGAAGAGATAAAAAAAGGCAAAAGCAATCCACCTTACGGCCAATCCATACTTGCCCGAAGAAAAAATGTTCACTCATCTACAGAAACATGCATAAAGGGAAAATTATTGCTAGCAACCTAATGAAGATAGCTCTCTTCCTACTCTTTAAATATTTTATGAGGAATTGATATCTCCTCTTATTTAAAGATGAATAATTCCCATTTGAAAATTTGGGTTTAAATGAATCTTTTAAAAAGAAGTCAAAGTAAAATAAATTAACAGTGCAATTCTCAAAATGCAGCCTGCAGAATATTTGCTGGTAATCTCAGAAGACCTGGCTGGTCTCATAAGGCTGACTTTCCTCCTCATTTCCCATAAATAACTTGCATTTAGGACAACTAAAAAGTCACTTCATTGTCTCCCAGTATTACTGTTTCATTAGAGAATTGTGGCTGCTTCCCCAGAAATCACATGCAACTGTAAATGGGAAACAAACATCCATGTGATAATGGTGCAATTAGAAAAGAATGGAATTGAAAGACTGTAGCAGGTAACATTTATGCCAGACAAAAAACCAGAGCCTGCAAGTGATCCAGAAGTCATAAATACTTGTGACAATATAATGTTTTCAAACTGAATCAATCCTTCTGCTGTTTCGTGTTCCTGCTGAAGATCACAACACAAAATGTTATTCTCAAGTGACACTCATTTTGCTATTGAAGAATTACTATTTTCTTAATATAAATATTGTAAGCACCTCTGTATGCAGACTTACACTGATTGTTTTCCCAGAATCCACCAGTTTCATACAGTTTTAGTTGTCTGTAACTCATGGCAAAATTAGAGTACAATTTCAATTTAGTAATATGACAGAGAATGGTAAGCAAGAAGAGCAAAAATCCTGCTGCTGTTATCAAAGCAAGCCATTACAGCCATGAATAGATGCTTACCTTTGTGACTACCCTGTATGTAATAAATGTTTCAATGGCTGTAATGTGGCTTTCAGGATCATCGACTGTAATGAAGAGATCTCTTAATTCTGGTTCATCTTCAAATTTATACTGGTTTATCATTGATGAGGGGGATATTGGCATTGAAGGACTGAATGAGTTTACCTCAGCCAGAGATGTATCCTACAGATAAGACATGAGAACATCCATTTCAATACATCTTTGTATACAAACACGTCTCAGATGCTAAAATGGCAAGCTTTTAAATGATCTGATAGAACAGATATAACATAGAGCAGATGAAACAATTATATAGTACCTAGCAAATCTATTATCCTTTTCAGTATGTACTTCAGTGAGGATGTAAAAAATGGGATTTATTCTAAAACTGTTGAAAGAGCAAAATACTACCATTTGAGAAGAATGTTATGCAAAGAGAACTTGCCTATGAATCGTAAAATTAGTTATGAATCATAGCACCCATTAATTGTGTAGAATACTTACCAGCTTTATTAAAATGTTAAAAGCCAGTTGCTGAGGACTTATGATGTTTAAATTATCTCTAATAACCTGAACAGGGTGGATAAAACCCCAGTGATTTAAAAGAAAACAAGACAAAATCAGAATCAGAATTTTTATTGTAATTGGATATTTCAGTTTGCATGTATTTTAAAATAATATTTGAAATGGAAAACAATTACAGATACATAAATTAATATTTTTCTTTTTTCTGAAGGAAAACAGCAAGTAAGGATAAAGTACAAATTTGCTGCTTAATTTCTAAAAAAAAAAAAAAAAAAGTCAAGCCACTATTTGGCTGAAGAGGAAATCCACTTTTTGATAGCATCAACCACTTCCACACAGCTCTCTAGGAATATGTCCCCATAGCAGCTGCTTCTGCTCAGTGCATTCAGTGGTGATCACTCAAGTGCTGAGAAATTGAGTGTAAATTGGAAACAAGCAAGAAATCTCATTGCTTCCTTAGATGCAAGAACTGGATGACATCTACTAATCTAAAATCTTGAAGGATACAGTTATTAGGAAAATAAGTTGAAATCAGTAACTCCATGAAAGAGTCTAACAAATTATTAAACCACTAGAAATAATAAATTAGAGCAATTGAAAGAAATCACTATATTTTAAATAGTAAGTATTGTATACTTTTTTAATATATGCAATGCAATGAAGTATTTTCATAACAAACTTGAAAATTAATCTACTTTTTAGAACTTTTCTAAAACCGTAGTTAGACTACACTAACTACTGAGTGGTAGTTGAAAGAACTGCCCTTTCCAGTGCCTTGTTAACTATGGAAGAAGGAGGAAAGGGATGTAGTTAAAGAGAAAACTTCTTGAATGCCAGGACTGGAAGTGTGCGAGTCCACACAAACTGGAGTCACAGCATCATCCCAAGGCTGCTCTCATGGGAGTGAAGAGCACACCACCATAGTGCTGCTGAGCTGGGTAACAGTTCCTTTTTCCCTTTGAATTCAACAAGATCAAAACTTTCTCTGGAACATCTTATCTTGCTCTTTTCCTGCCTTAAGCTCATTGCCTAGTGCCATCCCTCTCTTTTGAATTTATCAATGTACTCCCACAAATATGGAGGAGAAATTTATACTGGGAATTATGCCCAGAAAGCACTTATGTACCAGTTCTCCTCCCATCATTTACGTGAAGTTCTTTGAACAGGGAGACAAAAGCAACACAGAAGACTAAAGACAAGACTTTAAATATTATATAGTGGCTTCCTTGTACACCTGTCAGTCATTTTACCTTTATTCAGTGTGTTTCTACACATGATTTCTATACTGGTGTCCAGCCAGCACTGTCCTGAGTGGTGCAGAATAAAGAGAGAAGCTGTTTGCAGAGTCTAGTAGCACTGACTGGCCACACTCTGGCTGAAGAATGAGGACTGCTAGTTCAGAGCAGCCCATGCGATTCAAAGCGCTGAGACAACGGGAAATTTCCAGGGAAAGAAAAATGCATGTGAGCATGTAAGGGACTTGAATGTCTAAAGGAGTAATGACTCTGCAAGGCCTAAATTGGATCAAGGTAAATGTGTTTCATATTTTCTCATTTTCCATGGGGCATTAATGTCTTAAATGTTTCATTCCTCCTTCTAGGTTGCTACTAAAAATTTCTCTATACATGCAGGTTTCTGAAAGTATATTTTTATGTCGAAAGAGCTTATGAATGTGTGGTGTGTGAAACAAAACATAGGCACAAAAATCCATAGAATAAGCAGGCCTTCAGATTTGTTTAATACAGGTCTAGTAGTCATGTGTACATGAATGAATGCATATGAGTTTTAAAGAAGCATGTCTCTCTTTATCAATACTTCAGTTTTACTTACAGTAGTTCGTGAAGTTCTGATGTCATAACAGAAACACAGTTAAAAAAAGATGATACTTTTCTATACAGCTGTAATTTTGTGGTTGGAACTATGTTTTTGTGTGCATACAGATGAGGGCAGAAGTTGTTTTGCAGCACAGGAAAACCAGACAATTCTTCCAGCTTTTATGTTGTGAAACCTTTCTCCTCTTCGTCCATTCAAAAAGCATCAAGGCCCTGTCCCAGAAAATATTATGTCCTTTCCCATACAATCCCCAGCCCCACTTAACCTGCAGTATCCCTTCTCCTTCCAAACCCTTTCACTCCTGACAGAGCAGTTGGCAGAGCTGCGTGCACGAGTCAGGCCTTTTGACTTACTGGCCAAGAGACCAAACAGACAGAAAATCAACGAGCTTCTGGCAGTATGAGGGCCTTATTCTGGCTCTCCTTTCTCTAATACTTGCAGTTACCCTATCTCACTCTCACATTTGACTGCAATTGGCCAGTAAGACTCTAAAATAAATAAGGGAAGAACACTCACACAGCAGGAGCAGCCTCAAAAAAGAGCACACAGCTGTGACTGCGGCTCTTTGTAGAAGACATTAAGCCTGGGGGTTTGCCTAAACACTGCTCTTTCCCAGAGTACAGGCCCTTGACTCAGGGTTGCCTCCATGCCTCATCCATCCATCCCTACCTCCCAGTAAGGATCCAGAGCTTGCAAGCACGTGAAGCTTTCCCAATGCTAGGTGTCACTTAACAAGGAAGGCAAAGGGTACCTGAATGGGTATTGTGATACATGCGGTACTCCATACTTGGAAACTAATGGCAGAAAGCAGGTTGAAAACATTGTATCTGTGTGGCTCATAACTCAACCCCTAGAATTTGTCTCTGCTGAAAAGAAGTCAGAACTTTTTCAATGGTAGTGGAAACTAGAATAAAGTGAAATGCACACCACATCATGAAATGGTTTATCCGAGCTGCCGAAGAAGATGCTGGTCTGTAATACTTGAGATATGTCACAGGGTACCAGGTCAATCGCTTATGACACTACCAGGTTAAACGTCTATGGATTTTCATAAAATAAAAGCCCCCTATTTACATTTTGAGTAATAACTTTGGGTATTGAGGCTGACAATTTTTAAGAATCTCATTTTTCACCATTTTGGTAACTGGCACAATGCACTGACTAAACTGAGAAAGATGAAGTCGACGGCAGTGGCAGGCACCAAGCTCTGCACTGCCATTGCCCCGCTTGGCCTGCAAATGCTACCGCACTACCTTACAGACACCGGCATGAGGAACCCCATTAAGGTACAATTTAAATCCAGGTAGTCCTGGAACAGTATGTTATGGAAAAATTAGGTTTACAACACTTAATTGGAAGCTCCATTTAGCCTGTCAGTTTCCCTTGCGTATATGGAACATGAACAAACAGGGTGTAAAGCCCAAACAACCTCACAGATTTTCGTAAGCTCAGAAGACTGGCACCTGAAAACAAACTGCACCTGAAAACAAACCATGAATTTCTGGTCTATATATACACTACAGGCAGGTGTCCAAGCTTTGGAAAGAAGGCTGTATTTTAACATAGTATGGCAATTTTTCTTGTTTGCAGGGAATAATTTATCATGTACCATGGTAAAGATTTCATATAAGTAAGAAATATTTGTCATGAAGCAAGGTAGAAATTTAAAGATAGAGGTATTTGCCATATAGCAGCAGTAAATTTTATCAACTCCACTTGTATTTATTTTTTTGTTCCCAAGGGGAATAGCTCTTGACAAGCAAGCAGCATAACTGCTGATACACTGTATTAATAGGCAGATACCTTCATGCCAAACTGCCTGAACTTACCTCATAAAAGCAAAAGGATTCAAAGTGAGCACAAACAGCCAAAATTATATTTTAGCACTACGTTTGCATGCACGTTCAGTGAATCCTTCATCTCTTTATGTGAAACCACGACTGGTGCTTTCCTAGAAGAACATAATTCAGCTAGACCCTAGTAGTGTTTCAGAAAAACACAGATAACTTGGTGAAATTTAGCCTGGTCATCTTTTATGTTACAGACTATTAAATGACCTAATAGTTCCTTCTGGCCTTAAAAGCCATGAGTTTCAAGAATTCTGCTAGAGTCAAAGTTTAAATACATAGCTCCTAAGAAGGAAGTCTTTATTCCAATGGTTTTATTCATGCATACCACAATGTATCTCGCCTACAGAAACATAAAAAACCACACACTTAATCCATGTGACAACTGGTCCTACTGAATATATGTATGTTGTTGCTTTTTCAAATCAGAAATGTATCTGCTGTTTCTCTCCCATGGCACACATTCTGTCACACAGCAGTTCACAAGCCTCGGAGGGTGAACAGCACCTTAGCCTCTGTACATATTTTTTCCACCTTAGCTCTCTGTATGTCTTTATATTTTAGATGCTGCCTTAATAAGGCAAATAGATCCACGAGATGTTCTCTGCTTTAAGTGCTGAGAAGGCAAGTGGTAAGTCTCATCTTAACCAAATCAGTAGAAAATGAAAAACTATACGTGGTAGCCATACCACACTTGGTAATTGATTTAATTAAAATCAGCAGTATTGGCAAGACTGGTACCCATGTACCTAACTAACTGTGTGCTTTCTGAACATGATGGACCCTAATATATTGTCAGTTACATTTGTTTTATTCCCTTCCTGTAAATACAGATGTTAACTTCTCAAGCCTCCTATGTGAAGGTAGGAAACTTCACCTTTCGAAAGGAAACTCAAACTGAAACTTGCAAACATTTATTTACATTTAAACACTACTGCAATTACTAAACACGAGTGTTTATTTAATTTACAGATACATATATGGCACATGGCGAACGTTAAGTGATGATATGGTTACAGCGAGTCCAGATTACACGGCACATTTGAGGTAAGGGCAGTCATGACTCGCACTGCTGGTCCGAAGCAGCGAACCCGCGTTCCGTGCCGGAGAACTCACCCGGGGCTCCGTGACCGCCGAGCGCTGTCCCCGGGCAGCCCCCGCGCTCCGGGCAGTCCGGCCCTCGCAGTGGAGCCCCCGGGGCGGCCGCAGCAGCCCTGCCCTGCCTGGGCCGGCACTGTCCGGGCGCGGGGAGCGCGGGCTCCCGGCCGGGAGCGGGGCAGGCGGGCAGAGGCCGCGATCGCCGCCCGGGGCGGAGCCGTCCCGTCCCGTCCCGTCCCGGCTCGCCCGGTGCCCGCCGGGGCAAAGTGCCGGCCAGCCCGCCCGGCCGCCCCGGCGCGGCACGGCCCGACCCGCGGAGGGCGCTGCCGTACCTTGCTGAACACCTCCAGGTCGTCCTCCTCATCGTCCAGCGCCAGCACCTCGGCGGCGGCGATCAGCGGCCCCCGGGCCGTGCCGGGGGCACCCGCAGCGGGGCGCGAGTCGGCCCCGGGCCCTTCCCCGCCGGCGAGGAGCGACGGCCCCGGTGCCCGGCCCTCCGCCTCCATCCTGCCCTGCGAGCACAGGCGGCAGCCCCGCCGCAGCCGCTCCCCGCGGGGCCGCAATTGGCCGCCCGCCGCTCCCCCGCCCGCGGCCCGCCCCCGGCCCCGGCCCCGGCCCGCCCGGGGGGCGCGCCCAGTGCGCAGGAGTGGAAGCGGCGGCGGGCGGGCCGTGCTGCTGCTCGGGGCTGGGAGGGAGCGGGGTCCGGGGGTGTCGTGTGTGCCGGTCCGGGCTGGGAAGGAGCGGGGTCTTGCGATGCCGTGTGTGCCGGTCCGAGCTGGGAGAGAGCGGGGCCCGCGGGTGCCAGGAGGGCCGACCTGGGCTGGGAGGCGCCGTGTCTGCCGGCGGGCCCCGACGGCGGGACTGCGGCTGCGACCTCCGCGGAGGCGGGACGGGGCGGCCCAACGCCCACGGGCGTGTTCGTGGAGGCGCGGGGCCCCTACCCGGGCCGCCGCTGGCGTGGCCGGGGGAGCGTGGCCGCTGCCGGCCGTGGCCGCTGGGACAAGGGTGTGCAGTGCCTCGGGCTGGAGAGCCCCGGGCAGCCCCCGCTCTGTCCTCGGGAGCCCCGGGCTCCCGGCAGGGACGCACTCAGATTCTCCTGCCTTTTCCGGGCTGATCTCTCGCCTCCTGGTAGGCGCCCAGGGCCCGTCCTGGGAGCAGCAGCCCGCGAACACACCTCTCCCGTCGCCTCTCCCACGCCCGGGGCAGCCGCTCTGTCGTTGTAGCCGGAGGCTCGCCTGCCCCTTGGCCCTGGGGCCAGGTGTGCTTCCTGGTGCCGGGGCCAGGGATTGCTTTGGCGTCAGGGATGTGCTTGTGAGAACAAATTGACAACACATTACATCAGAAAAGGAGCACCCAGAGAGACGCCAAACATTTAAAACCAATATAACTATTCCCTTTTCTCTAAGTAAAACCATCACAATTGGGGGATTTCGAAGTTGCCGGTATTGAAGTGGAAGCAATGGGCGGTGTTACGCCCTGCAGGAGCCAGGGACGAGTAGGAAGGTGGAGCGAGGTGGACGCTGGTCTGATTTGCTGGGGTTTCAGTGCTTCCCTGGGCCACTGGATTCTGCGCTGGACACTCGGGAGCTCCGCTGTGCTGTCGGGCACGTCACCCAGGCGCACCTTGGCTCAGTGTAGAACAAGGCACGTCTTTACAGCCGCCGCCTGAAATATCTGAAGTCAACTTTGTTGTTAATGTAAGTTTCAGGAATCCTGGGCGGGTCCTTAAACAGGCACATACAATACAGCCTTTGTGTATTTTGGTTCCATTGCTGTCAAATTAGAAAAGGCAAACCCCGTCATCAAACGAAAGTATGCTGAAAGTTATTCATGAAACACTCCTGGCAGTTGATGAGGAAATTCATTTGATATTTCATGCTTTTCAGTGAAGTCTTGAGACACAACTTGAAATAAAGGGATAAAAAGAAACACCTAATGTTCACTGAACTGTGCAAAGAGAAAAAGACTATGCCTGCCTAATTAGAGAATATACTAAGAGGTTTAAATTCTTGTTTTGAAAAAAAATTGAAAATCAGAGGGAGCTGGGGGCAGTGTCTCACTACGCGTTTTGGGTGACAGAAGCCTTTGCTGCAGTAGGTCGCTCTCGCGGGGAGCAGCCGGCAGAGGGAGATGGGATGCACCAATCCTGGAGACTCCGCTCATGTTTCAGTAAGTCAAAATAGACAATTTCTGTAGTTTTAAAATAACTGCCTCTGGTACGAGATCCTCAGTCTTCTTTACCACCCTGCCTAGACTGTCCCTGCCCTGCTGCTCTTTGCTGTGCCCCAGCTCTGTGATTCTGAGGAACCTGGGGTTGCTTTGGCATGCTGCCTTCCTCATAGACTGTCACGGGCCTTCGGCTGAGTGCTGCTCACTTCCAGGCGCTGCAAGGTGCAGCCTGGGCTTCCTTGTGGTGCAGATGCTTCTTATCGGGCATCAAATCTACAGCTCTTCCCACCCGTGTCTTTTACAGTTCCTTACCAGTGTCCTTGCTGCTCCTGTAGCCTCTGATTACCTTCAGGTACCAGAAACTGATGAAAAGTGAATATCACACTATACATTTTCTATGCTTTCTACTCTGTCCTTTGTACATCAGTGATGTGTGTAGCTAATTTGTTTTCTGGCTTTGTATAGGTGATGGGTGAGTTTTGTTTCCAGTGGGTTTGTCTTTATTTCACTGTTTCCAAGTACCATGCGTTATGCCAGAGGCCTGTAGGTTTTCTGAATAGAATAAGTACCTACAACCCATATAATGCCTAAGTTTGTAATATGTCTGTATTTAAATTCAGATGTTATACTTGTGAGGCAATAAAAAGATAAAAAAACCCTCATCAAGGATCAGAATTCTAGACAATACACATCAGAGATGATAAATAAAAGACAGACAGACAAAGAAAGTATAAAACTGATGTACTGTAGGTTTGAATCCTAAGGCCATCGTATGGATTCATACTAATTTTTCGAAGTTTTACCATGCTCTTGAGTTCTTTATTTCTGTTTGAGAGAACTATCACAAGATGCTTTAATTGCATTTCTTTCTTATTATAGCTTTTTATTAGCTCATTAATCAAGCTTAAGAAGACATATTTTTAGTTTCCTTGCTGGCAGTGTTTATCTTTCTGTGCTTTATATTTGAAGTATCAATCTGTAAGGAAAAGGTTTTCATTGTCCTTCACTCTGGGAAAATATGCATTGCATTTAGCAGTTATTTGGAGGTTTAATCATCACAAGGACCCCTGCTAAAACAAAATAGGAGGCTATTCTGTCATCACTTTCAGCTGGCCTCCCCGAGCTCTACACCAGTTGTCCCTAATTTCTATTTAAAGGGCCCAGTAAGCAAATGTATCTTCAGGGCACCTTTCCTCCCATGCTGAGTCCCAGGGGATTACCAGCACCTCTCCACTCAAGTATTTAGCAAAAGGAGCGTTTTACAGAATCAGGAATTTGTTACTCATTTTCTGCTGTGGGACCAGAGGTGACTTCAAACAGTTGAATAATTGTGCTATTCAAGGATATTGCAGGTAGTGTAAATACAGAGCTACACTTAGCAAATGGGATTTACAGGTTTCTCTTGTACTGTTATTTCAGAAGTGCACTGCTGTAGGTCTTGGTTATTCTTAATTTAATATGTGTATGTGCACAAGCTCAGTGTTTCCTGAGCACCTGGGATTTACACACTTAGCCACAGATATCCTTCCCTGAACCTGTGGAATGAGATGTTGGCAATAATTAAGAGTCAATATATCAGATGTTGTTATGCCATAAATATTATTGCCCCACTTATTTAAAAAATAGCTATTGAACTGAGACAATACTCAACAATATTTTGCTAAATAAATTTTAAATGTTGTAAAATATGATGTTTTCTAAATACCCATACAGTCTTCTTGAAATGCACAACCTTTCCAGACCCTCCTGCTCAGGAACACTGAGAAAAATATTCTCATATACCAGAGCTGAGCTGCAGTTGCCTCCGACTTCTATTTATTCACTGAAGCCCAAAAAGCTGTTTTGTATTACAAAAATGTCAATATTATTCCTACTTGCATTTTATCTTTCTCTTTGGTAAGAGTGTTGATCCCAGCTAGTAATCCCTTCCAGAGTTGCTTTTCCTTGAACAAATTAAATTTACAAACACCGAAGCAGAACCAAGTTATTCCTTTGCTCTCATGTGCAGGCTGCATGTGATCCCTTTAGGCCACAATACCACTTTGAATACTTAATGTTGACTTGTCAAGTTTCTCCAACTGCACAGTGATATGGACAGGATTAAATCTTGTTTTATTTCACCATCTCCCTAGCCAGGCAGCAGCAGGGTATGGAGGCTCATGGTGTTTTCCTCTGTTCCACCACTGCAGTGCAAATAAGCGTATTAGTGAATCTGCTGACATTCGGCACCTTGACGCAAATGAGGACGTTTTTCTAGATCTGAAATGGATTGTCAAGTAGCATTCTTGTCAGGGTTGTGTAGTGCATAAGCAGAAGTCATTATGTTTACACCCAGAAGATATTTTGATGGTAAATTAAGGGCTGACCTTCATATCATACCATTTATTAGAGCAAGCTTTCTAGTAAGCTCCATCTAATGGCTCGAAATAAGGTTAACTGTTTATGTTCCGTGCCTGAACTCACAAGGAATTTGGAGCATTAAAACTCTCAGACACATTGTGAGCTGCTTAGCTTTGCAGCTACCTGTTGTGTTTTGGTTGTAAGGTAATTGTTAAGGTCTAGTGTTATTTTTGTTGTTGTTGTTATTAGTTTAAGTTTGGAAGGTGCTTTAGTTGGAATATTGTAAAATGATTTGTCTGTCAGACAGTGGATATCCTCCAAGCTTATTTTTCTCAGAGACTATCAGACTGTCTTTCCTTTCTGACTGCCCAAAGGAAATTACAATGTAGTGTACTCATAATCACGTTATCTCTTTTATAGCTGCAGATCATTTTTATGGCATTGTTGCTGCACAAAGCCCTGATCGATATCTGGAGATGTGCTATCCTTTAAAGTTATGTGACTCTGCCAAATTTTAGACATGAAAATATTCCAGGTGAAGCACTATTGGGTTTCATATTTTTTATAATATCTAAAAACAGTTCCCAAGCTTCATTAGTTATGAAAGCATTGATTTTTTTTTATGGGTGGGGGGGTAATACTTTGCACTGCTGTCAGATAGAGTCCATCTGTTCTAATTTAGCATTGTCTTTTCTGCTGAAGGAATGGTTTCACGTTTCCAGAAATACTTCTGTTCTTGTTTTTTGATGAATGATATATTTAGCAATCTGTACTTCAGGGCCTGAAATATCAGAGTATCTCCTAGTCCAAAAGTATGCAAAAATATGTTAAATATGAACATACCTATAAAGGCTTATTGAATTAATTTGATATATGAGTATGAGTTCCTTCTATTTTTAATTTTCCTGATGCCCACTTTGGAATTCAGCTTTAGGTAAAGAGAAACAGATAATACTGGACATCAGTTATCCTGTTTATCAATGACCAGGTGTCATTGTCCTGTTAGTTAAATAACTGAAAAGAAATGACAGTGACTTATATGGATGTTATTTCTTTACAGGTGTCTCTTTATATACCTTAAATTGAAGAATTCTGTATTTCAGCTGGTGCAGTGTAATGACTCTGTGATCATTGTTTGCCCTTTTAGGCATGGGATCTGCCATTATTTCAAGGTTTATTAGCCTTTACAGAATGGCTTTATAAGGATCTAACAATCTTTCATGCTAACACATGCTTTCAGTGACCATAAAAGCTTTGTAGTAGGTGAACCTAA